ACTACAGCCCCCAACACCAACCCCTTTTCCTCCCCGCACTACCCGCAGTAGACAGACTATAAACGTTCAAACCCTTCTTCCCCTACAGCACAATCACCTCCAGCTACCTTTACCTTTATTCCTGAGACACCAGTCTCCTCTTCCCCCCCTCATAAGAAAACCTTTATCCCAAAAACTCTCCAACCAACTCCATTGCAGAAACAATTACCTTCTCACAAAACTCCAATCAACTCTACTGCAGAAACAATGGATGACATTCAAAGCTATATGCTTGAGACACAAGATCGCATAACTCATGCTCCTTCCACACTTGAAGTGGTTGCCGATATTCATACCCCTTCTACTAATATTCCCCCTACACCCCTTCCACCTACTCCCTCTCAACACAACCTAACCCCCTCAATTCTGTCCACCTCGTCCTGACGCCGATATCCACCCTCCTACCACTAATACTCCCCCCACATCTACGCCCTCCCAACACAACCCACCCCCTTCAACCCTAACTATAGGCACATTCTCCCTCCCTCCATCCCCTCTATCTTTTGCACTCCCGGATACACACGAGAATCACTCATGTCACAACAATGCCCTTCCCCAAATTCCCTACCTCCTAATACCCCTCCTTCACACCCCCTAGCTCCTTCTCCCCCAGATTCCCCAATACGTACCGTATGCGATATCACTCATAAGCTATAGCTCTCCTACATTGGAATATTCGCGGTTTCCGTTCTCATAGACCAGACCTACGTCATATCCTTGCTTCTTATAATCCATCTATTATCTGCCTTCAAGAGACTATCACCACACACCCTCCTATTCCAATTCCCAATTACCATTTTAACTCTTCCCCACACTCCCTCTATGTCTCGTCTATACTTATCCATCATAAAGCACCTTATGTCATACCTCCCATACAAACTTCTGTCCCGTGCACAGCTACTCGCATCTTTCTTCGCCGCTGGATCACAGTGATTTCAGTCTACTTTTCCCCATCACATCCCATTGACTTTGCTGCCTTTGAAACTCTAATTTCCCAACTCCAACCACCTTTCCTCATAATTGGTGATTTCAACTGCCGCCACACTCTGTGGGGTGACTTTACCACCAACTCTCGAGGCCGATCTCTAGAACGCTTCCTCTTCACAAATAACCTAATTATTCTGTATTCAGATCGCCCCACACACTTTGGCTTGCGCACACAAACCTTTTCATGCTTTGACCTCTCTCTATGCTCTCCTACTTTACATCTAGATTTCCATTGGTCAGTTCTAGACCACTTCCCCTATAGTGACCACTTCCCAATACTCCTTTCTCCTACTTCATATGTACCACTTCCTAATCCTCCACGCTGGTGCTTTGATAGAGCTGACTGGCATACTTTTTCACTCTAGTATACCTATCCCTCCATCCCCCTTACCGTCCATTTTAGATATGCTACAATGTTTTACAACTACGATCCTAAGAGCTTATTATACAGCCATTCCTCGAACTTCAAGACCTTATACCTCTAAATGTGTTCCATGGTGGAATTCTGATTGCACCAAAGCGCTTCGCTTAAAACGAGCAGCCTGGAACAGCTATCGCTACAAACGAGGCACCCCTCACCAGCTATCAGCCCTTATTTCCTTTAAAAGGGCATCTGCCCATCTTCGCCGTACAATTAGAAACAGCAAAACAAATAGCTGGCAAAATTATGTTTCATCAATTACATCTTCTACATCTATTTCAGCTGTTTGGCGACGGATCCATAAATTATCAGGCAAACATCCCCCCCATCCTGCACCCGTCCTCCATATTCGAGATGCTCTCATATCTGAACCTGTCGAAGTAGCTAATGAACTGGGCAACTATTTCAGCCAGGTCAGTGGTGGCTCTCACCTTTCTCCACACTTCCATTAAAGCCATCAAAGAACCCATCCCTATTACCTTCACCCTATCCTCTGATGAGTCCTATAATGCTCCTTTTTCTTCTGAACTCAACGCTGCATTACAGTCGTGCCGCAACACTCATGAAGGCCCTGATGGTATTCACTATCGTATGCTCCGACACCTCCCATCTACTCTATCCTTCCTTTTAACTATTTTCAACCACATATGGACGTCAGGAAATTTTCCTTCTCATTGGCGAGATACTATCCTACCTTTCTTAAAACCCAATAAATCAGGTACCCTACCCCAAGATTACCGCCCCATAGCTCTAACTAGCTGCTTGTGCAAACTACTAGAACGAATGGTTAACCTCCGTATCTTGAATCTCAATCTCCTTTCCCCTTCCCAGTTTGGTTTCCGACGTGCCCGAAGTACAGCAGACCCACTTGCCCATTTCGAGACATATGTTACATCGGCATTTGCACGCCATGAATCCGTATTAGCCATATTCTTTGATCTAGAAAAAAGCATATGATACCACATGGCGATACCATATCCTTCAACAATTACCCTCCTTAGGTTTACGTGGAAACATAGGCGTTTTCATCAAATCCTTCCTTTCTAAACGTACCTTCCAGGTCAAAATTGCCTCTTCCACGTCATCATCCTTTCCTCAATTCGAAGGCGTCCCACAAGGAAGTGTGCTTAGTACCACTTTATTCCTTCTTGCTGTAATGACATAGCCTCAATCCTACCACCAGGATGACTTAACCATTTATGCATCTGGCACATCCATACCAGATCTATGTCAATTCCTTCAGTCTGCAATAACATCAGTAACTTCTTGGGCCACCAACCATGGCTTTCGCTTCTCTACCTCAATCTTTCCCCATCCTTCTCTCGCTCACGTACGGTCCCCAAACCCCTACTCTTATATAACGCTCCACTCCAATACCGTTCTTCTGGCAAATTCCTAGGCGTTATACTTGATTCCAAATTGTCCTGGAGAGACCATATCTTGTACATCAATGAAAAAGCTCAACGCCGCCTCCGAATCTTACGAACTCTTTCACACCTCTCTTGGGGCTCAGATCGTAAAACACTCCTCCATCTTCATGTTACCTTGATTCTCTCCACTCTAGATTATGGATGCCATGTCTACTCCTCTGCCTCAACCTCTCCTCTTGCTCATCTTGATACAATCCACCACACCGGTCTCCGCTTAGCCCTAGGCGCCTTCCGCTCCTCTCCAGTTGAGAGCCTATATACTGAATCTGGCATGCCGTCCCTCTCTCGACGTCGAGCCCTTCTCTCTCTCTTCGATGCTATGCTCGATTTCACCAATTTTTCCTTACCAAACTAACTATTCCACAATCCTTACTTCATACCTTTACCTCTTCTCCACGTTTACCAGCTCCTCTCCCCGTACGCATGGATACCCTCCTCTCCCATTCCCCCTTTCCTCACCTCCGGCCCCTCCCACTTTTTGTCCATTCCATTCCTCCATGGCTTATACCTAACCCCTGTATTTGCTCCTCAGTTTTCCCTGACCCACCAAAATCAGATATCCCCCCCTCTATCCTTCTCACTCATTTCCTTGACCGTCTCCATTCATTCCTCCAGCATTCATGTATACACTGACGGTTCCAAATCCATCTCAGGAGCTGGATTCGCAGTAACATTCCCAAATTGCACTTTCAAATACACCCTCCCTCCTGAATCTAGTGTCCTTACTACAGAACTGTATGCACTCCTTTTTGCCTTAAGACGCATATACATATCCCCCTCTTCCTCTTTTACTATTTTTACTGACTCCCGTAACTCTTTAACCCTCAAAGTCTATACACTCGACCAATCCCCTTGTCTGTAAGATCCAGAACTGGTTGTTCTATCTATCCACGTCACAAATCTGTCAGATTTTGCTGGGTACCCAGCCATGTTGGAATCCCTGGCAATGTCCACATCACCTCAACTACGCTTCTCACATATTCCAGCTACGGATTACTATCCCCACTTTAAAACCTCCTTGTATACTCGATGGCAATCTTTTTGGTCAAGACTCCACAACAATAAGTTACATACTGTAAAACCTTTAATCTCCTCTTGGTCAGCTCCATTTCACAAAAACAGACTTTGGGAGACGGCCCTCGCACGCTTACGTATTGGTCACACTCGCCTATCTAATGTCACGCTCAGACCCGCCCCTATGTCCTCTATGTAACGTCCCTCTCAGTTTCACACATTCTATTGTTCTGTCCACGCTTTAATACAGTACGTACCTCTGCCTTTCCACACCTATCCTCCCTTCACCAACCTCCCAACATACCAGACATCCTTACAGAATCCCACAGCTTCTGCCTTGACAACCTGTTCTCCTTCCTCAGACACAAATATCCTTCACTTGATCTAGCTCCCTTACCTAAACCACCATAACCTTTTCCCCCCATCTTCAACCTTTCAACACTACTCTAGATAGTTAACACATAGCAACTATCACGACACCCCCTTTACTATACCTTCCTATAGTGCTATATGACCTTAGATGTCTAGCACATTTATTTTAACCATTAACCATGTAAACAAAATTAATTTGGATTATAGCCCACACAGTAATGACAACGAAAATATAACACAGAAGGTGAAACATCCATTGGCGTCTGTAATGAAAATGTATTTTCTGAAGGTTGCTGACAGCATAGAATGATTATTAAGAGGAAATAAAAGCAAAGATTCAGTTTACTTCAAACATATCTTTATAGTGGTTCTTGGCATTAATATGACGACGTCACAGTCCCATCCACAAATCCTCGAGTATAGACCAAAGACTATTTGGTATAGGCCAGTACAAATACAATTTTGACAACTGTGGACAATGAAAATTAAGAGTTGCTGGAGGGAATTACTAAATGCACACAAAAATTAGCCTTAAAAAGAAGAAAACAGTTGTGACGTCAGTTTCTGAGCCAATCACAGGGCATCCAGTAATTCAGAGTGTTGTCACAACAGCCCTGTTTGTTACCATGTGTCCCCTTAAACCATGTGGATGCGGTTCAACTCAGCAGGCATATTTTCATCTGTCTATGGATGGATAAAAGATACGAACAAAAATGACTGGAATTTTAAAGGACAGGTTTAAAGGTTGGTCATGGGAAAAATTTATTTTCGTACATTTCTCGTTCACCAAATTATCAGTCTGAAGAACTTTTGTATAGCAAAATGCTCAAAATTTTACAATAATAAGGCCTTTATGTACATTGCCACTTATCCACGGGATCATTTCGAATTACCGCTGAACTGGAGTGCTTAATTTCGCTATTCACTGTCATTCACCTGAAAAGGAAAGTACCGTGAGCTACAGAAAATACAGGGTTTTCACACACATTTTTAACGAAATTTCAGTACCATGCATGATCAACATTAGATCTTTTCTGTATTATATATTTCATCATGTAACGTTGAACTTTCGTCTTTTCCCTATAGTTTAGAGTGTAAATATTAATGAAACTCACCTTAACTGGATTCCCCTGCATTAACTCCTTTGTTGATCTGTGGAGTTCATCAAAAACATTAGCCATGCCACATTTAATTATTTATAAATTGATAATAGTTCCCTTTTATCAGTATTTTTCTTTCTTTCAACATAATGTTCAGTTGAACTATGCAAACATCATTTCAGATTCCTAATGAGATTACAATTCATTATTATTTTTTATAAATACAAAAGTGTGAACCAACCAAAGATCCACAAATTCTAGACCAAGTTTTATCAAGTGTGCACTATATTTTTCAAAGAAACTTCAAACTAACCCTTTAATAAAAGTTCAAAATATTCTTTGTTATTCCTCTCATATCACCAATCATATCAAATATATTCAAAGGTTAAATATAAAATGGGCCCTAACTGGAATCCAACTTTACTCAATAAATCTCCTGAAAATAAGTAAGTGTTGGTTCGTAGTTTTTTTTTTACTTTCTATGGTGTTTATAATATGCATTTCAGTGCCATGCATGGCCAATATTAGGATGTTAGTGTCATTTTCCACCATCACTTTTCCTCAAATCATTTAATATTTTGCCAAATTCTACACACTATGATAAAGGAAAAGTCCCTATCTTCGAAAGCTTTAAATCTATAAGTGATCATGAACAATACACACAATATACATAAGCATTGTAACATTGACTTTTTTGCAATAAATTCTCTCCTCTTGATCACCATATCTACCTTACCCTTCTGAATACGTCATCAGTTACAGATATTGATTTTTTTTTTTATTTGTGTTATTGCAAGTTACCATATGATTAACAAAACTTTTATAGTTTCACGGGTTTTCACTACAAAATGTGAGAGTTAAGTATACTCACTTTTACAATAGTCAATAAATTTTGAAGGGATCCATTTGGACTGCACTAGTCGTTTTACTGGCCCAAAGGTAAAGATTTTTTCCTAGTACCAGTGGTTATCTGAAAAGAAATTCCTTTCAGCCTCATGGTCTGTGTATAGAAGACAAGATATGATCACATGTAATTTTCAGATTCTTCATTGTCCTTCATTATTTTTCGGATGGGGAAAGAAGATATTTTTCATCTTATTTATGTCACTGAACATAGTTAATCTTTAAGTGATGCTCTTTTGTGTGTGAATGTCCGAATGTGCACATGTACAGAAAATATGGTTTGCATTCCGATAATTTTGGTCTAATTTACAAACTAAGTACATTACTAACCACTGCAAACTCTAGATGGGTTTCCTGCTTCAGTGGTATACTACAACCATCTAAAAAAAAAGAAGAAAAAAGAACAATTAGCATTTGTTATACTCAAGTGTAATTACAAAATGTGTCATACTATTCAGAATCTTCGGTTTCCTTCATAATATTTAGGATGGGGAAAGAAGATCAATATCATCCCCAATAGTATTTTACAGAAAATATAGTTCATACAGAATATTCAATAAAATTTCTAGTTCCTATACAAAAAATGTGACATGAGCAGGTTTCATGTTTATTTTGGTAAAAATTCTTCCTGTGAGCCTCCCTAAACTGACAAGACATTGCTTGAATATAATTATTTCACATCCCCCTTTACTTGTTCCTTTAGGCTTAGTGCACTAAGTTTTTGGTTATAAAGTGCTATGCTGGCATTCTTTAAAATAATGTTCACTGGATCTCGTTCATTACTTCAAATCTAACCTTCAGAAGCAAATCTATCATATCAGAGTCATGTCCAACATCAGTATTGTTATTTCTGTTCTGCCATGCAGCTATCAATCAGTTTAAAAACAAAGCCTTAAAGTTACCTAAGCTCATGTGCAAGTGACTTGCCTTTTTGTTTTTTTCATGCAATTGAACTTCCTCTTCTGACCTGTGAAATAAATTTAAAATATCAGCCATGTTATGTCAACCTGTTAATAAATTAATGTACAGCTCTTTTCAGTAAATTTTCTTTCAACAACTAAATTCAGTTGAACTATGCAAACATCATTTCAGAGGTAACTATATCTAGAGAACTAATGTGTTGAAAATTGACTAACTTTTTTCAAGGCAAAAGAGCATTTACCTTTAAAAATTACCTTCAAGGATCAAACAAAATTTAAACCGCAAAACTAAGAAATTAAATTGAGCTTGATGTTCATTATAAATCTCTTGCTATTGGTAATTAAATTAAGCACAAAAATGTATATGGTTACAAGGTGAAAAACACCTACCTGGAATGCTACATACTCCCCAACTCTGTGGTTTAATCTTCCTCTTCTGAAAATAAACCATTGTCAGAAAGGCTTCCCCTCACACCCCCTTCAATATTCATGACCTATATTTCAGTGCCATGCATGATCAACATTAGAATCTGTTAATTATATAAATTTCATCATTGAAACAAAACCATTGTCTTTGCAAATTCAGAACTCACCTTTATTCCAATGTCATAATGCAATTACTTCCTTTGGTTGAATTTAGTTTTAACCTTTCACTTGCAAAGATGTTTCCTCCAGCAATTGAAGATATTTTTAAAATAATTTACCTGAAAAGAATTTTTTAGATACTATACAAGACATTACTATTGTGCATGTGTCAATCTTCAGTATCCTGCATAACACTTTGGATGGGTAAAGATTATTTTCATTCTATTAATGGTATAATGACCATTTAACTATGAAATAATGTAGTTTACAAATTATGAAGAAAAAAAAAGTCTACAAAGTTTGCATAAATTACTTACATTAAACCTCTGTATATTATCTTTTACTTTAATGCTTTGAAGTTTCTGGAAAGGAAAATCCAAAATTACAATCTTGCCACATCTATAAATAATAATAATAAATATCACCTAATTCAGATTCTTCAGTTTCCATCAAAACATTTAGGATGGGGAAAGAAGATGATTTATCATCCTAATGCTTTTATAAAATTTTGCTTTCTATTTTTCTTTTTATTATTATTTTTAACTAGCATTTATGTATTTTATTTTGTATTTGCAGATCAAGGGCAAAAGCAGCAATAGGTAGCTATAGCAGCTTCACAGCCCATATATAGTGTTTGGTACCGAGACATGCCTATCTTGAATTTAGTATGGCAATGGAGGTGCCAAATTTCATTGTTCCCTTTAACCTTTATCAATTGTGGATCAAATATTACATCCATTTGTTTCCCAAGTGCCCATGATAAACATTTATGAACTATGACTAACCTTGAATTCTCATCAGAATTTCCTTTAACTGGACCGAGTTCATTTATCTGAAAGAAAAAAAATGCCATAAGATACAAATGCAACAAGATTTTTCCATAAATTCTGGTGTCATTTCAGTGCCATGCATGATCAACATTAGGATCTGTTCATTAAATATATTTTCATCATACTAACAAAAATGATTTTTTCTTGCTTAAATTACTCACCTGTGTTTTCTTAAATTCTGACAATCCTGTTTACTCATGGCTACCTTCAAGACAAGCAAAAACTACTCTTTCCTTTACTTTGAACTGCATTACATTTTGCTGTTACAATGGTACGATGGTGGAGTGGATTTCCTTGGAGGTATGACTGGTTATCTGGAAAGAACTTTCACTAAGACTCATGCCCTATACATATATCCATGACCTGATACAATAACGGATATCAGAATCTTCATTTTCCTGCATTAATCTTTGGATGGGGAAAGAAGATGGTTGTCATCTTATAAGCACTCATTACATATACCAAATTATTATTATTTTTTGATAACTAACCTGGAGTTTCTGTAGAATTTTCTGGTTACAATTCTCCTTTCACTAGATTCATTCCATCAACCTAAAGAAAACTATCATGAGATGCAAATACTACAAGGTGGTCTTTTATATTCAAATAAAGCATCAGTGCCATGCATGATCAACATTAGGATCTGTTCATTATAAAAATTTTCATCATGAAGCAAAATTAAAATTTTCTTGCTAAAACTACTCACTTGTGCAACGTTCCTTCGATTTCATGATGACCATTCTGTTCACTCATGGTTGCCCTCAAAAAAAAGCCAAAACTATTCTCTCTAATTTGACCTGCAGTTAGCTTAAATGGTACGATGGTGGAGAGAATTTCCTTGGAGGTATGACTGGTTATCTGGAAAGAACTTTCACTAAGACTCATGCCCTATACATATATCCATGACCTGATACATAACGGATATCAGAATCTTCATTTTCCTGCATTAATCTTTGGATGGGGAAAGAAGATGGTTGTCATCTTATAAGCACTCATTACATATACCAAATTATTATTATTTTTGATAACTAACCTGGAGTTTCTGTAGAATTTTCTGGTTACAATTCTCCTTTCACTAGATTCATTCCATCAACCTAAAGAAAACTATCATGAGATGCAAATACTACAAGGTGGTCTTTTATATTCAAATAAAGCATCAGTGCCATGCATGATCAACATTAGGATCTGTTCATTATAAAAATTTTCATCATGAAGCAAAATCAAAATTTTCTTGCTAAAACTACTCACTTGTGCAACGTTCCTTCGATTTCATGATGACCATTCTGTTCACTCATGGTTGCCCTCAAAAAAAGCCAAAACTATTCTCTCTAATTTGACCTGCAGTTAGCTTAAATGGTACGATGGTGGAGAGAATTTCCTTGGAGGTATGACTGGTTATCTGGAAAGAACTTTCACTAAGACTCATGCCCTATACATATATCCATGACCTGATACAATAACGGATATCAGAATCTTCATTTTCCTGCATTAATCTTTGGATGGGGAAAGAAGATGGTTGTCATCTTATAAGCACTCATTACATATACCAAATTATTATTATTTTTTGATAACTAACCTGGAGTTTCTGTAGAATTTTCTGGTTACAATTCTCCTTTCACTAGATTCATTCCATCAACCTAAAGAAAACTATCATGAGATGCAAATACTACAAGGTGGTCTTTTATATTCAAATAAAGCATCAGTGCCATGCATGATCAACATTAGGATCTGTTCATTATAAAAATTTTCATCATGAAGCAAAATCAAAATTTTCTTGCTAAAACTACTCACTTGTGCAACGTTCCTTCGATTTCATGATGACATTCTGTTCACTCATGGTTGCCCTCAAAAAAAGCCAAAACTATTTCTCTAATTTGACCTGCAGTTAGCTTAAATGGTACGATGGAGAGAATTTCCTTGGAGGTATGACTGGTTATCTGGAAAGAACTTTCACTAAGACTCATGCCCTATACATATATCCATGACCTGATACAATAACGGATATCAGAATCTTCATTTTCCTGCATTAATCTTTGGATGGGGAAAGAAGATGGTTGTCATCTTATAAGCACTCATTACATATACCAAATTATTATTATTTTTTGATAACTAACCTGGAGTTTCTGTAGAATTTTCTGGTTACAATTCTCCTTTCACTAGATTCATTCCATCAACCTAAAGAAAACTATCATGAGATGCAAATACTACAAGGTGGTCTTTTATATTCAAATAAAGCATCAGTGCCATGCATGATCAACATTAGGATCTGTTCATTATAAAAATTTTCATCATGAAACAAAATAAAAATTTTCTTGCTAAAACTACTCACTTGTGCAACGTTCCTTCGATTTCATGATGACCATTCTGTTCACTCATGGTTGCCCTCAAAAAAAGCCAAAACTATTCTCTCTAATTTGACCTGCAGTTAGCTTAAATGGCACTAGGGTGGAGTGGATTTTCTTTGAAGTATCATTGAATATCCGGGGAAAAAATAATTCAGCCTCATGCCTTGTATATATAAAAGACAAGACAGTCATGCAAATATCAGAATCTTCATTGTCCTGCATTAATCTTTGGATGGGGAAAGAAGATGGTTGTCATCTTATAAGCACTTGCATTGCAAATATCAAAGCTTTATATGAACACTAACCCTATTTTTTTTTTTGTAGAATCTTCCCTTTTCACAGGATCAACTTCATCAACCTGAAAGAAAATTACCATGAGATGGAAATACTACAATGTCTTCTTATAAATTCAAATAATATTTCAGTGCCATGCATGATCAACATTAGGATCTGTTCATTAAATTGATTTTCATCATACAAACAAAATGTAATTATATCACTAAAATTACTTACTTGTACTGTTTCTTAAATTTCAAGTTAAATAAGATGACAATCCTGTTGACACCCAAGGTCATCTTGAAGACCAACCAAAACTATTCTTTTCTATTTGTACTGGACTGAGCTTTACTGAAATGAGTAGTTGGACTTCTTTGAAGTATCACTGGGTATCTGGAAAGAAATTTCATTCAGACTAATGGCCTATTTATAAAAGACATGATACAGTCATGCAGATATCAGAATCTTCATTATCCTGCATTAATCTTTGGATGGGGAAAGAAGATTGTTGTCATCTTATTAACCCAATACTGCCAGAATGTGATGTTCACTGTAGTATTTTGTGAAATGAATGTCACAGACTTCAGCCACCAAAGACTCAATTAGTATACTATGCCCACACCTGCTTCCCACTTAATTTTTGTGAGAAATATAAGCATTTTTTTGTTTTAATGTTATTGCCGTTATCAATAAAAACAAATCTGAAAAAAAAAAAAAGGAGATGGGTGAACAGGCAAGATCGATTGGAAAAGTGATTGATTCATTAATAAAAGAAAAACACTGGGTAAGGTATGTTTGTAAATGCCATCCTTGGCAACATCAGATTAATAACTTTTTCAGAACAGACCATAAATAAAGAGAAGGAGTGTGGATTGGGCTGTGGATCATTCTTAAGTGAGAAGATAAAAAAAACGAAACTGAACTTTGGAAGTAAAACTAATACTATCATCATATAAGAGGTGTGACTACTTTTAATAGAAGTTTACAAAGTGTCAAAATATAAAGTGCAATTTTTATATCTGGTAAAGCATTTGACACATTACAAATCACTGCAAATTATCCCTTAAAGGAGTGCGTTTGACAGTTGTGGCAAGTCTGTTCTTTAAGCAATCCCTTTTTAACCAGTAGGCACTTGATATAATCTTGTCTCTGCATCTGAACCTGACTGCATATGGCATGCACATCCTTTTCAAGTTGAGCTTGATATTAAAAAACACTCCACTGCTTCATTTGAAAGTAGTGTTCCAAACAATAACATCTGCATGGAAATAATTCGCCAAATTAAAAGCTACTGTTACACATCCTGTACAATTTCACCACAAAAGTAACCCCTCAACTTTACAGTTAATAATTTTGGCAAACATGTTTTAGGCAAATAACTCACCATTACTCTTAATACACTGGTTTCCTATATCTCAAGTTTACACATCAAGTCTCTGAAACTGAAAAAAATAAGATTAAATTCTGAAATTCATGTTAAATTGCAGTAATAATAAAAATAATAAAGTTCAGAATCTTCATTTTCCTTCAAAACATTTAGGATGGGGAAAGAAGATGATTATTCATCATAATACTGCATTTCAAAGATTTTTTTTTTTTTAGTACAAAGAATTAATGTTATATTTTCACATTTTTTACAAAATTCATCCAATTTATTTTTAAACTGACTTAACAGTTTATTTAACTATAACTTCTTTGAAAACTGGCACCAGTTGATGTGGGTCCTCCTAAAATAGCTATGTAATTGTCATGTTTTGTCTTTTATCCGTAACAAATGATTACTACCAACAAAAAAACTTGACAATCTAACACTAACCACTTTCTTTGTAGAATCTCTTCACTGGAACAAGTTTCTGCTTCTGAAAGGAAAACAATCATGAAATACTGCCAACACCAAAAACTTTTCATACATCCTGATGTCATTTCAGTGCCATGCATGATCAACATGAGGATCTGTTCATAATATCAATTTTCATCATAGAACCAATACACAATTTTTGTTTTTCTAACATTACTCACTTGTATAATTTAAGAGGATAATCTTATTCACTCATTGCCAACTTCCACAGAACCAAAAAAGGTTTTTCACCCATTTTACAGTGCATCTAAACTTTTACTGGCACTATGGTGGAGTGAATTTCCTTGAGTATCATTGGCTACCTGGAAAGAAATTTCATTCAGATTCATGCCATTTGTATACAAGACAATATAATTATAATCGGATATCAGAATCTTCATTATCCTGCATTACTCTTTGGATGGGGAAAGAAGATAGATGTCATCTTATTAATGGCACTTTAAGAATATACCATAAAAATGTGAGTGGGGTGGCGTTTTGGTTGTGGGAGTATTAAAATCTTTTTGAATTGAAAATTAAATTTCTAAGACAAAATTAATATCCAAATTAAGAAATTCTCAAAACCAACTTTATATCCAGTGATTCAATTCCCTTGGAAATCAAATTTTCCATCCACCTGTTTGAAGTGCTCTTTGCAAATACCAAAGCTTTTTATAAACACTGACCTTTTGTAAAGCTCCTTTTCCCTGGATCAATTTCATCAACCTAAGAGAAAACTATCATGAAATGCAAATACTACAAGGTCTTCTTAAACATACTGATGTTATTTCAGTGCCATGCATGATCAACATTAGGATCTGTTCAATATATTAATTTTCATCATTGAACCAATACCAAACATTTCCTTGCTATAATTACTCACATGATGTTCATTAATTTCATATCAAATATGATGACAATGGTGTTCACCCATGGCCACCTTCTAGGCAACCCAAAAATAATGTCTCCATTTTGTACTGCACTGAAAGTTTTAATGGCAATATGGAGGAGTGGATTTCCTTGCACCATCATTGGTTACCTAGAAAGAAATCTTGTATCAGACTAATGCCTTATATAAACATTCTATAATATAATTGTGCAAACCTCAGAATCTTCATTATCCTGCATAACTTTTTGGATGGGGAAAGAAGATAGTTGTCATCTTAATGTAATCTTACAGAACTGACCATAAACATGTGATGCTAGTGGAGTGTGAATGAGCAGTGTGGTATTTTTGAGTGGAAGGCTAATGAGACCATTGGTGGCACGCCAATGGATCCACCCCAAAATATATACAATGAAATGTTCATATATATCAATGAATGGGATAGCCATCAGAAGACAATCATGTAACAATTTTCATTATCAAATTTGTGTTAATAAATTCTTCTGTCTAGACTAAATATTCTAAAACATCTTTACATACAATTAATAAGACATCTTCATATACATTTAGTAGGTATGTTTGTCAATGGTATGTTTACCCCCCCCCCCCCCAGTGAGAGAGTGGGTGTGGGTGGGTGGGTGTGAGAGAGAGAGGGAGCGAGACAGAAGCATACATGATCAACATTTGATACTATTTAATGTTCTTGCAATTTTACTTTATTAAATATTTCTGAAACTCACCTTTTTTGGTTTTCTTGCCATCTAATTCCCCATTTTGACCTGTGGGGTAAATTACAAACATTAGCCCTGTTATACCAAGTCACTAATTGAAGTAGTCAGTAATTATCTCAGTAATTTTTATCTTTCAACAAATGCATTCAGTTGAACTATGCAAACATCATTTTAATATCAAATATATCGATGGAAGAAATGCAACAAAAATTCTAGACAAAGCTATACTATAAGTTATATTTTTGTCTAGTATACATAGTTTGAGCTATTTACTCACCATAATTTTCTGTGGACTAGTTTCCTATTGTTGCCTGTAGATTAGTTTCCTTCTGAGGTTCATCAGTCAATCATCTGGAAGATGAATACCATGATAGAAACTGCTAATACTTTTCAAAATATAATGCAAAACATCCGAGTCAGAATCTTCATATTCCTTCAAAACACTTAGGATGGGGAAAGAAGATGCATATCATCACATTTAGTTCTATAGAATATCAGCTAACCAGTCTTTAATGCAAACTATAAATGAACAGTATCTAACAAACTGATAAAGCTGGGGAAGATAAACCTTGGTCCCTATTCAGCATGCTTTTTTTTCCACCTTGCACAACATTTCCTTAGTTTTTCCACCTTATTATGAACTTGCATCAACACTCAATCAACCACTACTAACCTCGTTTTGTAAAATCCACTCTTCCCTGGATCAAGTTCATTCATCTGAAAGATAAGCACAATGAGAAAAATACTTTCAGGTTTTTTTCTTTAAAATTTGAAGTCATTTCAGTACCATGCATGATCAACATTATGATCTTTAGTTATATAATCTTTCATCACTAGAAAAAAAAAAAGGATTTTGTTTAACTGAAATTACTCACTTGTATTATATTTGAATTTGGAATTATCACGTTTATCCAGCTGACATCTGCCACCTTCAAGGTAATTCAAAAGTGGTCTCCTTCACTTTGAACTACTGTCCTACTGGTGAATGATAGAGTTAATTCCTAAGAACTATCAATATTTGCCTGAAAAGAAATTCCTTTCAGATATGTCATATGTATACAAAACAATATCATGCAAGCGTTAACCTTAAACTATCCATCTAAAAATGTCATTTAATTAAAATTTAAAAATATTGTTATTAGCATACTTTACCACCACTTCAATTCCTGACAAATAAACTATCCAAATGTAGTAATACTGGAAAGGCTCAAAGGTTTTTCCCCCCCATACAATACATATTCCTATACATAAAAATCTTTAAACTTGTACATCTAATAAAGCTAAATCTCTAGTACTACACGAGTTGTCGTACATTAGTTATTGTAACTTTTACCATTTGTAAACAAATAGTACTTCAAAATTAATACTAGATCCTTTTTGGCAAAGGCTGGAGAAAGGTAAAAGGAAGGGCAAGGTCTAAAGACCTATGACTGACATTATGACATTTCCCCATCAAAAGGTAAGAGACTAATGAACAAACATGACTGACATACCTATTCACAAATTCATCAGCTACATCCTGCCAAGTTCCAGGAGTAGGATTCCAACTCTTACTTTAACTGGCTTTACTGCATTACAAGTAGCTGCCTTGTTGAATGCAACCACGGCTCTTACTGAGCAGGAAAATATCTAGGTATTCATATGTACGCACAAGAACTTTGTATAAAAATGTTTACATTATGAAGATGAAACAAGTCACATAGAAAGACACCTAGTAAACAATTTGCTTACCACTTACCTTCACAATGTGTCCAAGCTGTATCTCACTTCTAATAAACATTGATTGGTTCAAAGTAAATCTGAACACTTTAACCAAAGATTTTTTTTCTATAAAGGATCAGAATATCAAAACACACCCAGCTTTTTTTTTCTTTATTGTGAAGTTACAAGTTATTCCCTGGCAGCCATGAGTTTTTGGCGAGCAAGCTTCTTCTTGGAAACCTTCTTCTTAATGGGTTCATCCTGTGCCTTGGAAACAACTTGCTCCTTTTCAGCAAGAATCACCTCAATGTGGCAGGGTGAAGACATGAAGGGATTGATACGACCGTGAGCACGATAAGTGCGGCGACGCATCTGGCGGGCACGCTGAACCAGGATGTGCTCAATCACCAGCTGTTCAACCTCTAGACCCTGTTTTCAATTAAGGGGTAAGGTACCACATTAATAAGCAATAATACATATATTACAGCTCTTAATACAATTTATATATAGGTCTTTGGAATACTGCAATACCAAATCAAATTAGATAAAGCTCCTCAAACATACCTTGTACTGGGCATTACTTTCAGCATTCCTTAGAAGATCGAGGAGGAAGCGGGCACTCTTCTTGGGCCACCTTCCCTGGGTAGTCTTCCAGGCCTTAGCCTATAAAAGTAATTTCAAAATTGCAGATACAATTGGAAAAGTTTTAAAGTTTAATTTATTACTATATACTACTAATAAGAAGAGGTCTGTCATCATTTAATGGAAAAGTGAAATCTAAACACTTATTACATGGAGGACTTACCTGGGCACACCTGCCTACACCTCCATTGAAGACGCGGAAGGGTACACATTCCTTCTTACGAATAACATTCTTCAGGTAACGCACAGCACGAGAAAGGGGCATCTTTTTGATGTTATTGGCAGTCTCACAAGTATTCTGTAAAGAATGAAATATCCATTAGCATTTTGCATACTTTTCTAGCACTTGAAGTCATACACAAGAGCAAGCAGTTGTACACCTATAAAAATATATAGCTTTGATTTCACATACATAAAAGTCTTGATTGTGGGGCACACTTGGTTTGGATGACTTGTCTAATCATTGCATGATCTACATCCAATGTCAGGCCAATTGCCCTCCAACCCCAAAGACAAAATATCAAATGATTTCCTACACATTATCATGATAACTACAAAGAAAAAAAGTAAAAAAAAAAAAAAAAAAAAAAAAAAAAAAATCAGCAAAATCTTTTATCAAGAATGGTCCAAATAGCTCTAGTAAATAACTTGACAACCAACAACAGCTTATCATTCATTCCCCAGTCAATTTCAAGGATTGCTGACAGATGGTGTAATTGAATTTTAAGCAAGAGTCACATATGAAAAATAAAATTTGGACAGCTGGGCCACAATTATAGAAAACTGTAAAAACTGCTGAAGTTGAAGTAATGAATAAGGTGAATAGGACTTTCAGAATTAGTCTTTGTTAAGGAACCAAATATATTGTGATCAAGAACTTAAATTGATCATAATAATAGCTAAATAATAAACCTGGAATAATTTCACACATTCTGCCCTTTATGCTTGTTGGTGCTTGGATATGTTCTATCACTAAATATTTTACATATCCCTGACAGTATGCAAAATAAAAAAGTAGATAAAGCTGTCTTCACACAATGTGCTAGTGGACTGATGGCAAAGATATGCAAAGCTATGCTGATCCCTTAATGTGATCATTGTGTTAAAAATTACTATGCATCTCCTACATTCCATTCTTATATCTATGGTGTTGCTGTTTGTCTCTACATATAATTTCTGGTAACTAACTTTTTGCACTCTACATGAATAAACCATTTTCTTATTCTCTTTTTTATACTCTAAGATGACATTGCCCATTTCCCTATCTCCACACAGTTCTCCGTAAACTATACCCAAGATAGAGCCGTAACTCAAGAACACTGACTGGACTTAGGCTTTAAGCATCACGTTCTGTGATCTTTTTCCCCGGTATATATTTCTGTAACAGCACAAACACATGGAAAATCTTAGGGTACTGTCAAAGTTAAGTAAAACTATCTTGCTGATATACAACACAATCTGTAGAAGAAAATAGGTTGCAGTAAATGCTGCAGACACTACTTCCAGCCTTCCTTGCCTTGAAGAGAAGAACTTAGCTACTTGGTAACCAAATACAAACTGTTTTGGCAGATGTAATGTGTGAAATCATTATCGATATTGGAAAAGCTGCACATTTATGTATTTCTGTATTTGATTTATAGAAACACATTCATCAAATGTTCATTTCTTAGATGGGTATTCTACATTATTGTGTGCTTATCTATTTTCAGAATTTTTTTGCCTCCATATTTGCACATTTAGTTGTCACACTGCTCATTGCCTGTTTCCTTGGTTCAAGTTCATTTACAATGGTACTTAGGTTTCTGAATAATTTTCTAACACTGGTGTAAAGGAGACACTTACTGAAATGGTTACAATCTCGGGAATAAAAATTATGGGCTAAAACAGGCTTAAGAATAATTGCAAACAAAAAATGAGTAAAACTATCACAAAAACAAAAAATCAGCAAACGAAAAACCAGCCATATCCGCCATCTTTGAAAGTCTATGAACTGATACCCCAAAGTTTGAAAAATATAAGGGAATCCAATCCATCTTTCGGCAAAATATACAGGATCACACAAACAAACCAACAAACCCAAAAGTCCTGACCAATAACCCAACCTAACCTAGCAATTTAAGGTACTGTGACTAGACATGCCATTTGGGCACTGGCTGACGGGAGGGTTGATGGTGGGCTTTATTATTAAGGTCTATTTCTTCTTCTTTGCCACTGTATAGTCTTAAAAATAATCCAGAATCGACAACTGAAAACAAGCCATTTCTCTGCAGCCGTCTGTCTCTGAATGACCATGAATCCTCCTGTCAATACCTGTGGCCAGAAGATAATTGTCTTGGTTTGTATCGTTCAATCATTTCATACAGGTTTTATTACCCAAATCCTCCACTACTTTGTACTGCACACCTTGAAAGTAACATGATTAATGTTACTGAGTGAGATACAGAAGGAAAAGGGCATTGCCATCTTAAAGACCATAAAAAATATAGTCAGACATAAGTACAGCTGCAGCAGCCTAAAATTTACCCAAAATGACAAATATTCACTGCTCATCACTGCTCAGAGACCAAGTCCACAATACCTTCACACAGCCAGAGTTCTTAAGAGGGCCGTTGCACTCTACAATGAAGTTCGCAGTGTCTTTACAGTACCTTGTGAGGCATTTCATACGAGTAAACAACTGCTGCAGCTGTGATTGCGATGAATTTCTCATCCAATGTTTATTAGTTACAGGAATAACATCTACCATTAGTAGTGTCCTCTTAGTGTGTGATATGGGCGCATCTGGGGTACATTTATGGGATCATGTCGTGGACGGAGCAGATGAGCAGTCTCTCACTCAGACTCTTGTGGTGACTGCCCACCTTGTCTCTTAGTCATGGCTATCAGCTGATTCAGGAAGCAGAATTCCCAGCTAGCAACCAGAAAATACCAAAATAAACCATTTTATGAAACATTTGTCTAGAATATTAGCACGAACACAATGAAGTAAAACATCGGAGCCGGAGGCGGGGGGGAGGGGGTCAGGAATTTTGTCATAACTCCTTTATACTTATGTATCTAGCAGAAATATTACTTCATGGGATTGCCAAAGCCTACTAGATTACAGGAGTTCCCCCAAAAATTTCTAAGTATTTTT